TTATTTACTCTCTTTGGGGATTATAAGACCTCAGATAAAAAAAATTTAGAATCTTTTCCCACAGGCTTTAAAGGCCTTTGTGAGGGATTATAAAAAAATAAACAAGCGAAGACAGAAAAGCTCAGTTTCCTTCAGATGACAATGAAAGGAGTGAAAGTACATTTCCCTATTTTTCTAGATGGTGGCATATTTATTTTTCAAGCACCAGGCCGTGTTTCTAAGCCAATCAGTGTATCACATAGACATCTTGCTTTGTTGCCTCCTAGACGTTGAGAAGGTGATGTGCCTGAGGAACGGGCTGTTTCCCGAGCTGGGAGAGGTGGAGAGGAAAAGGGAGGGCAGAGTGCGGGCTGACAGGAGCTCCCAAAGCTTTGTCTGTGTCCGATCCCTGGGAACCTGCGCACGTTACCTTATTTGGAAAAAGGCCTTTGCAGGTGTGATTGAATTGAGTCTCGAGATTCTGGATTCTCTCTGTGGGCCCAAATGTAGTCACATATGTCCTTATTATATAGGAGTGGGTAGAGGGAAGTTAGACAGACAAGGAGAGGAGAGAAGAATGTGACTACCACTGAGTCAGAGATTGGAATATTTGGGCCACAAACCAGGGAATGTCAGCCAGCAGATGCTTCTGGAAGGAGCAAGGAATGGATTCTCTCCTAGAGCCTCAGCAGCAGCCCCCAGCATTTTTTGGCATCCAGGACTGTTTTTTGTGAAGGACAATTTCTCCAGGGGGTGGAGGGAACAGGAGGCAGAGGTCAGGCAGTAATTTGTTGAAGCTCTGCCTCCTGGGCAGCTGCTCACCTCCTGCAGTGCACAGGTTCCTAACAGGCCATGCCCAGTAGGGTCCAGGCCCAGTGGAGGGGTGTGGGTGGGTGGGGGGGTTGGGGACCCCGACTGTAGAGGGAGTGTGATCTTGTCGATAATTTATTTCACACTCCTGGTGTCCAGAGCATAAAGGTCTTGTTGTTTTAATCTATGAAGTTTATGGTAATTTCTCACGGAGGCCCAAAGAAACTTACCTCCAGCTCTTTTTCCTCAACTGTTTCCAGGAACAGATCTGGGCGGAAGGGCTTCATGTCATGGAAATTCTCCACTCTAAAAATCTTTTCTGTTGGGCCAAGAAGAATTCAAATTACAGGAAAGAATACGGAATGAAGAAATTTTAGCAGCAGTCGGGTTCCGAATCCGTTTGCCAAATCCACTGGCCAACACATCCGTGTGTCCACCCAACTGTGGATGGGCGCCCAGTGAGCGTGGGGCAGGGCCCAGGCCAGCGCTCAGCAGACAGATGGACGCTGAATGAGTGGATGAGCCACCAGGTTAACGGGTCTCATACCCACTTGTTACCCACCTTAAGTTAAGGCTACTAACCCCGTGAAACCCAACCCGGATACCACGGCCTTCAGTGGGCTTCCTCTGACCAGACTGTAGCCTGCCGCACAGGCAACCCTAGTCACCCCTCCCCCAGGCAGTTAGGAGCTGGCGCAAGTGCTCAGTAAATGAGGACTGAATGAAACATCCCCCCCCACCCCTTGTCAGAGGACAAGTGACAAAAACGGTAGATCTTAGTAAGAACTAAAATATGTATGTTGCTCCACCCGAGCGATCTAGTTCAGGTGTTAAATGGACACATGCCTATTTGTAATCAGGAGGAAACAGGGACATTTCAGGGGGAGATTCTTTAACAATTGACTCCTGGCACTGGTGTATGACGCTTTCCAGCTCACTTGAACATTCATGCCATCGTCCAATCCTTCCAAAGCCTCTGTGCAATGCGTAGTGCCGATACGCCATTGCTTCTGCAGCCGAGGGAGGGAGGTGTGGTCACACAGATTCGAGTCTCTGTTGGCCTAGAGCGCAGGTTGGCTGGCTCCCAGAGGGGCAGATGAAGGGGTCAGACTCTTACCATTCTGGTCCCGGCAGCTCAGTGTGTAGAAGGTTTCTTTTCGCAGGATGATCTCCTGCGCGATGATCGCGTAGCTGTACACATCTCCTTTCTGAGAGACGTTGGCCTGGCGGAGGTGCTCCGGGGCTGTCCACAGATCTGGGCATTCAGCATAAAGATTGCAACGTTAAGGGGGCGGGCGGCCCACAGACTCCAACTGTTACCAGCGGACAGTCTGTCCAGAGGCCAGGGAGTCTCCCCCATTGGCCAGGATGGCAGCAGGGGGAGGTTCTTACACTGAGGGGGTGAAAAGCTAGCAAGATGATTGGATAGAGAAAAATTATCCCCACTTTACTGGATTGGGGGCAGGAGGAGGGGAAGGCCGGCACACACACCACAGAAGTCAAAATAGTGCAGGGGAGGTGGTGACCCAAGGGGCCCGGCAGTCTAGCGTAGGAAGAGAAGGGATGGATCGCAAGGTGGACCCACCCAAAATGTGCGAAAGTTTGGGGGGTTAATTGGTCGTCCTGAGAAAGCACCTGGTCTGCCCCACACCCAAGCTCATAATATCCCAGGGGAGCAAAAAGCTCCCTTTGGCTTGGGACTTGCACTCACATGGCCCACTGGCCTGTTCTAGTCTTAGCAGCCACGTGGCCCATGGCCTTGAGTTGGGAGCCTCTTTCTCTCTCGCCCACCCGGTGATGCTCTTGCTGGTGCGTTGGCGTGCTCTGTCTCCCAGGAGCATGCGACCATGTGGCACCGGCAGCCACATGGCCCATGGCTGTGCAGACCCCACACAGGCTCCGAGAGGGGCCTGAAGTGGACGGCAGCCGGGAACAAGCTAAGCTCCCTGGGTGGGGACTATGACCACCCAGCAGCTGCCTGTGGGCTCCAAAGGACGGTGCTTTAAAATGGAGCAAGAATCCTGGACACTGGCTTTCATCTTGGTTTCGCTGAGGACATGGCTGGACTATTTCCATGGCAGAAAGAGGAGATGGTCCTTAAGATGGGAGCCCACCGCTCTCTCCGGATGCGTGGCATCCAAGCAAACCTCTTTCCTTTTGCACCAGCACATGCCTTGGTTTGGCTTTTGTGGCAGCAGGCAGGCAGACCTCTGTTTTTGTTCAGTTACAAACCTGCTTTTGTTCTTTAGGTCCCTACACCATGCACCCTGAATATGAGTGGCCTTGAGTTTATATGGCCCCAAACTTTTGAGGCATTTATGCTAAAATAATGGTGTTAAGGGTAGAAGACACACTTACCTTTTAAGCTGACTATGTAATGCCAGGATTTGGGTGAGGTCACATGACAATGTCTTCCCTGGAACTGCTAGGGTCATAGTCCTGAGACCCTCAAGGTCTACCTAGAATAGCGCTTGGTGTGTAGGAAGTGCTCACAGAGATGTGTGGGGGGCATGAGCTAGAATATGAGAGGCTAAAGGATTTAACAGCCTATGGGACATATGGCATAATCCTAGGAAAGCCTTTGTAAATGTTAAAAATATTTATATGTAGTATGAAGTATATTTATATATTTTTATAATATAAAATATACATATTTCCTAAAAAAAACCAAGACAGCACATGGAAACCAGGAGACTGTCACTGATATCTTCCAGCTGTGACGTGCTGGTGGCTCCCACGTGGGCCATTGCCCATCGCTGTGTTTTCTTTGCATCTCTCTGTTCTTTCAGACACAGCGCATGCAGTTCACCCTCAGTTTACCGGGGTGCCCGCTACTCCCTAGTGCCTTCCATCTAGTCTACTCCGCACAAGTGAAGTGCTCCTGCGTTCTGTTCAGCTCCTGCAGACGCTTGGGTTTGGGACCCCTACCACATGCCTTATTCGGTAATACCAGGGCACACAATTTTTCTTTACCATTTCCAGGATCACCTAGCTCCTTGTAAACCTTTTGAGATTTGTATCTTCAGCAGCTTCAATGAAAAAAATCTATAGATTCATGTTATTGAGTACAATGATAGGTTTATGATTAAGCATATTTACCTCACATGGTTTTCCATCCAAATGTTCATTGCCTTTTTGAATTTATGTCTTGTGACTTGATGTGATTTGTGATTCATGTGCAGTTGGTCCTAATGGCTTGGGGTTATAGGAAAGGTAGGTACATCTACTTCTGCTAAAATTCAGGTGACCAACAGTTACAGGTAGGTAGGTGTAATAGAGTGATGTTCAGTGATGTTCGAGACCTGTAATTCATCTGATTTTCTGTCATGGTGAGTCATCTAGTGAAGGAGATTTGTTCTACTACATGATGAACAATGCTTGGCACATAGTAGGTCTTCAACAAGCCCTTACTGGGTGGAGTCCAATGTCTTAGGATGCTTGATGTGACTGAAGAAGTAGGGACAGAATTATAATTTTCTTCTATTAAGGAAAAGCTAAAGGACTGCAGAATAAAATTAGAAATAGAATGTACTATTTGGATCTATTCTGAATCCTATGATTCATATGATTAGATTTAACCCTGAGCTATATAGTAAAGAAGGGGTAAATATTCAACACAAAAACTCTTTCTACTTTACAAGTCATCTTTCTTTGTGTTACTTTTTTGAACCTTATCACAATCTTAAACAAGATAACAATGTGTTTCACTGATAATGTTTTTTTCTTATCACTGTCACAGGTAAAGAAATGATGTCCAGAGTTTGGAAACAGGTCTTCTGTTTTCTGCTCCCTGCACTTGGGCAAATCTCTTGGCCTCTCTGAACCTTCCCTCTGTCTTTGCTAAAGAAGGCAGGTTAGGCCATGATTTCTAAGGTCTCTCTTCCTACTCTTAACGTTTTCTATTTTTTTACCCAGTTCTGTTTCCACAAGCTAATAAGTTCTTCATGATTTCTCACTGATATCACGGGACATGGATGAAGGGAACCCACAGAGGAGATCTGTCCAACTCCAGGAGCACTTGTTGAACACTGACGGGGGGTAAAGTGTGGGAGAGCGGCCAGCTGATGCCTCTTGGGGCTCCAAGTGTTCATTTTCTAATCAGTATTGCTGTTTCCTGAGCAAATGATGTGGGCTTGTGAGAAAATGAAAAGAGAAAAAAAAAAGGCCAGTGGGAAACTGGTTAAAATTTCACTACAAACCTTTTTTTGCAGGTAAAATGGAATTGCAGCCAAAGCCAGTGATCTTCACCACCATTCTGCTGTCCACCATGCAGTTGGTGGATGTCAGGCGCCCGTGGACTTCCGTTTTGCTGGAATGCAGGTATGACATGCCCTGCAATTTTTTCACAGGACAAGAAAGCAAACAAATAAGACATTCTGCATTTGCTCGATTATAAAAAAAAATGACATTTTGAAATCATTTCAGCCTGTGTGTAGAATCATACTATCAGATTTAAAACTTAGTTCCATTAATTTTACTTTTAAAATATTAAGGTCCTAACATATGCCTAAGCACCATATCTAGTTTTATTTTTTTTAAGGCTTTATTTATTTATTTTTAGACAGGGGGAAGGGAGGGAGAAAGAGAGGGAGAGAAACGTCAATATGTGGTTGCCTCTTGTGTGTCCCCTACTGGGGACCGGGCCTGCAACTCAGGACTGGGAATCAAACCAGCAACCCTTTGGTTCACAGACCGGTGCTCAATCCACTGAGTGACACCAGCCAGGGTTAATTTTAAAATCTATTTAGGTGACACAGTAAAAATCAATTGTCTAAAGATTCCTATTCAGTAGTTGTATATAATATAAAACAAAGGGTTGCTCCTATTGTCCTATAGTGTTTTTACCTGCCATTTACTTGTTCTGTGAATTTGAGTGTGTCTGGTTCTCTACTACCTCAGTTTGAAAATATGTATAATAAGGCCTTGCTATTCTGAAGGGAAGGGCAAGGCTAGGCTAGTTCTAAAATTTCATGGATTTTATTCTACTTCTAAAGGAGAAGCCTGTTTTTTGCTGGTGTGCTTCCCTCTGGTGGCCAGAGCTGTTATTGCAGAAACTGGTTTTCAGCCTGGAACACAGGCGTGATGTGGCAAATGGGATATCATATAGCATTTTCCAAACTGATTCTGATCCTATGGGACTCTCAGGTGATTTAAGACTGTGTCAAGTAGCTCACTCATGGGACTGACTTTTCTTCATTCTCAAATCAGGCCCTGGTTACTGGTATTCCCATGTCTGGGAATATATGTATCCGAATTTATTACTGCCTTATGCAAGATGCTTGCCTGTCCTTAATATTTTCTCTTATAAAGTTGAAGCTTCAGTTGTTCTCCCTGCAGCTTTATATGGTTTTGATTTCTAGCAACTCTATGAAAATGTGGGCCTCAAATCCAGAGTAGAAAGACTATAATAAGAATAATAAAAACCAATGTACATGTATATTTACTTGCACCAGGCCTTATGCAAAGTATATGAATTATTTCACAAATACTTACAATGACCTTACAACATAAGTACTATTTTTGTTGTCAACTTACAGATGAATAAATCAATGCAGAGAAGCTGAATAGCTTACTAGATCTGTTTTCCTATATTTAATTTTCTAGATGTCTTTTCTGTCTGTAGGTCTCTTACCTTCGCAATATCATATAGGACAGAGATCTTAAACTCCCAGTCCATGAATGTACCGTCAGGGTAGGAAATTGTGTCATTTAAAACTTCCTGAACAGGAGAAAAAGAAAAGGAAGAAGATGACTCGTCATAAGGAGGGATGTTGTGGAGAGACTATTACAGGCAAAAAATGATCTTCTAACCATGAGGTTTTAGGCTCAGGAGCAAATTGGAACTCGGGTGTCTTGGTTTTCCTGAACATGGCTGGGGCAGCGCAAAGCAGGTTACAGTTGTGAGTACACAAAACACAGAGTTTATTCTTAGTCCTTGTTTATTCATTATTGTATTATTTTCTTCTTTTTTCTTTTTTTGATCAATTCCCCGCCCCCCCCCCCACAGCTGTATGCCTGTTATCAATGAGTCTGTCTCTATTTTGCTTGTTACTTAATTTTGTCTATTAGATGCCACAGATGAGTGCAATCATATTCTCTGCCTGGCTTTTGTCACTTAGCATAATGCTCTCCAGGTCCATCCATGCTATTGCAAAGGTTAAGATCTTCTTCTTCTCAAATTGTTGTATTATTTTCCATATGAACAACTGTTAAACCTATTTTGCCTCACCCGGTATTTCTTTTCTTTCCCACTTAAGTAACATGAGGTGGCTTTCATGAAAAGGACATGAGCAAGAGTTACCCATAGCATCCCAAATCCTGGTTCTCCCACCTGACAGGGTACAGGGAAGAGCAGATGAGCAGATGCCTGTCTGGGGTGGGGGGGCTGGTGAGCCCGAATCACAAGTCACTGGGCTGCATGTTCTGCCTCATCAAATTACACTAGTGTTTTTAGGCATGAAATTGCTGTTAGAAAATTCATTCACTGGGCTTATGTTTTTACTCAGATGATCAGTTGCATCCATTGGCTTTATAGCTCTAAGTGTTTTTAAGTTTACTAAGTCCTCTATCAATAAGATAGAATCCTAGATTTTGTGTGCATTGTATGACCTAGAATTTTGAACTCACTATTTTAACATGGTGACAATTGTAACAAGATGATGGTTCTAAGGTAATAACTACTCTTCATAGTAAAACTGTAGTAACCTGACAATAGTTTCTTCTTTGGAAAAAAAAAGCCCAGTTTGACCATTAGTTTTAACTTACCCACTGTACTAGTAATTTCCAATGAAGGGTCCAAAGTCATATTTATTTCAGGTAAGGATGGCTGGGCTATAACCACCAGGCTAAGTTAAGGGAGCTAAGTTATAAGTAGATAGACTCTAATGTAATTTTTCCCCTTAACACCTGATATATTTTGTTTATGTTTATTATCTCTTCACATCATGAAAACGTAAACTCGGTGCTAATTTTTGTTCACCAATGTCTCTGCAACATCTTATTCAGTGTTGGCTTGGAATAAATATTTCTCCACATCCTCGCCATCATTGTTTGTTGATTTATTAATGATAGCCATTCTGACTGGTATGAGGTTACATCTCATTGTGGTTTTAATTTGCATCTCTCTGATGGCTAGTGATGCTGAGCATCTTTTCATATGTCTCTGGGCCCTCTGTCTGTTCTCCTTGGAGAAGTGTCTGTTCAGTTTCTTTGCCCTCAAAAACTACTATTCTTTTTTTTAAATTGAAACTTATTAAAAGTTTCTAAGGGGTTAATTTAAATTTTTAAAATTGTTTAAAAACATTATTGAATTATGAGTATTTAGACATTTTTGAGGCTGCTACTGCCCCCAATCTTAAGATTCCAGCTTTGTTATGGAGGAGAATATTGAGGTTATACCAGTTCTAAACATAGTCCAAAAGGCAGGGTGACCACACATCCTGGTTTGCTGGAGGCCTTGCAATTTACATCTGCTATTTCAACAATTATTATAGTACCCCATTTACTTACTGTCAAAGTATCCTGATATGGTCACCTACCCAAACATAGTTAAAAGGTTGAAAGCTGTTGAAACAGATGCCCAGGACTTGCTGAAGGTGAGGTTCAAATATTTCAATGCTCCTTGAAGCAACTTTCCTCAATTCCTTCCTCCTTTACCACCCTTTTCCCATTTAGTCCCATTTCTGCCTCACGCCTGACTTTGTTTTTTTATATATATATATGATTGTTTCTTGTAAATACTTGCCCTTCTGAACTATTTAATGATTTTATATTCCTACTTGGTGCTTGGTTCTTTTCAAGAAACTGGCTTAGTTCTGTCTTACTTTCTCTTTCTGCTTTGAACTTGTGATGTCCGTACACTTGACCCCATCTGACAACACCTTGGCCATCCTCAGTCCCTTACATGGGAGAGGGTGGTAGGAATTTATACAGTTACAGAACCAGGACTTATGAACAAGTTTCCTAATGCTTATTTGGTGCTGTCATAATGACCATCCAATTTTCTTTTAATACAAATCAAGTAAATATCGAAGTAAAATAAGATAAATTTAGAAGTAATTGCTTAATTTCTCACATCTGTTCTCTGTTTCCTCACATCTACATTCCTTAATATTTATTATATTTTATTATTCTTATTATTTTTAGTAAAGATATAATAAGACTTCTTGACACACTGTGAGTGATCTCGTTTGGTAACATATGGACCCACCAACCTTTCCTGCTGGCTCTCTGATGTTATTTCACTGAGCGAACATCTAAAACTTCTACTAGATTTTTTTTCCATACAGTTGACCAGTTAGGAAATTGGAAATGACTGCGGGTCCTTACCCGGAGGGATCCTCTCTCGCAGTATTCGATCACCCCAAAGATCATGTTATCAAGCTTCACCGTCCCGTAGAATTTGGTTAGGTTGTAATAGTCAATCTGAAGCAACTAAGATAACAATGTTTATTTACACAGCAAGTCAGCCAGAAAGGAGCACCAGAGAAAATATTACTCTGCTAATAAAACATGTGTTTCAAGTCTCTGGGAAGATGCATTGCTCTTCATACACTGGGATGTCTGCACATTTCACATTACATTTTGCATTGCATCTTACTGAACGGTCTCTCTTTTGTCTGCAAGGGGACATGAATACAAACATTTGACTACTCTCAAATATTATCAGAACCATTTTGTAGGACAGGCTAGTCGATTTCCAACATGTTTATCCCATCGAACATCACTCTTCAACATCTGTTAGTGGAATTGTCAGCAGTAAGAAGTATAGTCTCCCATTTCTAGGCCTGAGGGCTTTTTTCTCAGCATCTCCAATAATGTCTTGGTTCCACCAGGGACCTCAGTGCTTAGGAAAAATGCAGTGAAGCTTTTTCTCACTTAAGGGTTTTATAAAGGGACACGTACCTTGTTCAATTCTATCTTTTGTTCCTCAGTGAAGTTGCCATCATTCTGCTTCAAATCCTTTAGAATCACCCTCTGCAAAGATCGATTGAATTAAGAAGATATATAACATGACTATTTATATGCATGTTGTAATGTTTTGTTTGTGTGACTATCTTTCCACTATATTGTAAGGTCTTGAGAGCAGCATCTGGTATTTTATTGAGGTTTATGTCCCTGGTGCCTAGTACCTGGGATAGGAGAGGCTCAAGTTTGAAAGTTTCTTTGAAACTGGCTAAGCGAAAAGGAAGAAATTAAGGTTGGAAGGAGGAAGGGAAGGGGGGGAAGGGAGAGGAAATGACAACCACCCCGTATGAAATTGTCATATTCCCACTGCATGAGCCAAAATATAATACTAGGGTTTCCTGGACTGCTCTGCA